CGGATAAGCAGCGCGATAATTTTCTGGATAATATATGGCGAACCATGACAACTGATTTCGATGGAATTTTGTTTAGTATAAGAGTGAGGGGCTTTGAAAACAGCCACCAGCACTTCGTCGAGTGTGTCGCCGTTTTCGTCTATAATGTTGCCATAATGAAGGGTGTGACTTTTTTGCTTTTCCAAGTCTTTACCCTTAAAAATGGGCTTGCAAAGTGCAATGGCATCTGTACCCGAAAGGCGAATGACCGCAATGGCACCAGTGCCTGCGGGTGTGGCTAAAGCAACAATCGTATCTTGTAGGTGATATTGAAACATTTTAAAAGCAGTGAGATGAGTGAATTTATCAAAAAAAATAAAAAAAGTTCGTAATTTTCGGCGCAAATCGAAGGAAATCAATCAATCGTCGATTTTTTAAACTAATTAGGAACGAAAATATGAATAATTTGGATTTTAAAGTTATCATAACACGCTTTTTGACACATTGTTTAATCTTGTGTTTGGCAATAGGTGTGTTAGAGAAATTTGCATTTCATTATGATATTGATATTCAATCGATTTTGGTGCGAGCGGCAGGTTTTGCAGCTGTCATCACGATATATCAAACATTTATTAAAAAATAAAAAAATTAGGCTAACATCATGGATTTTCAATCATTTAAACGGAAATTTTTATTTTTTTTAGGACTTGTGTTGCTTGTTGGCATCGCCTTGGGTGCATACGCAACCTTCGGCTCGTATAGCGACGGTGTACGTCAAGGGCATATTGTCAAATTTAGCAGTAAAGGGGCAATTATTAAAACTTGGGAGGGTCAGCTCAACCCTGATTGCAACCGAGTTGGAAATAATCCTATTCCGTGGGAGTTTTCGGTAAGTGACAATGCAGTAGCGAAAGATGTGAATAAAGCTTCTTTAGATGGAGGCTGTATCAATTTGCATTATAAAGAAAAATTTTACAAATTGCCGTGGCTTGGTGATACCAAATATTTTATCTATAAGGTAGAGCCAGCAGTAAATGCTCCACAGCCGCATTTTGGTAATTAGGACGGAATCAGTTGTAGTTGAGAGAAGGAGAACTTATCCCGGTTGGTGGTGTTAATGTAATTATAAACTATGTTTAGTTTCCAACAAATTAAATCCCCCGGCGTTTAGTCCTCAAAAAACAAATATTTAAGATGATAGAATTTACAAGGTTTACGCTGAAAAATGGTTTGCGTGTGTTGGTGCATGAGGATAAGAGTACACCAATGGTTGCAGTCAATGTGTTGTATGATGTGGGTTCACGTGATGAAAATGCTCAAAAAACAGGGTTTGCACATCTTTTTGAGCACCTAATGTTTGGTGGGTCGGTCAATATTCCTGATTTTGATACGCATATTCAGAAAGCGGGTGGTGATAACAATGCTTATACTAATAATGATATTACCAATTTTTATGATGTTTTGCCTGCGCAAAATATAGAAACGGCATTTTGGCTGGAGTCAGACCGCATGTTGCAGTTGCGTTTTAGCCACAAATCGTTGGGAGTGCAGCGTAAAGTGGTGGTAGAAGAGTTCAAAGAAACATGTTTGAATGAGCCTTATGGAGATTTGTGGCATTTGCTTTCACCGTTGGCATATCAAGTGCACCCGTATCGTTGGCCCGTAATAGGTATGGATACTAAACACATAGAACAGGTAAAATTGGCAGATGTAGAGGCATTTTTTTATAGTTATTATCGCCCTAACAATGCTATTTTGGCAGTTTCGGGAAGTGTTGAAGTAGCGCAAGTGCGTTATTTGTCGGAAAAATGGTTTGGAGATATTCCTGCTGGAAATGTTCCGCCTCGAAAAATTCTTCAAGAACCCACACAAGCGGAGCAGCGGCGTTTGGTGCAGCGAGCAAAAGTGCCCGTAGATGCGTTGTATATGGGTTTTATGATGCCTTCACGCCTGGATAAGGATTATTTTGTATGTGATTTGATTTCTGATATTTTGTCAAATGGAAATTCTTCTCGCTTATATCGTCGGTTATTGAAAGAAGGGCAACAGTTTTCGCAAATAGACGCTTATGTTACAGGAACTACTGACCCTGGCTTGTTTGTTGTGGAAGGCAAACCCTCTTCGGGTGTGTCGTTGGCTACGGCAGAGGAGGCGGTTTGGCACGAGTTGGAGCAGTTGCAACAAAATTTGGTAAGTGACCTAGAGTTGCAGAAGGTAAAAAATAAAATAGAAAGTTCGCTAATTTTTTCGGAAGGAAGTACACTAAATAAAGCGATTAATTTGGCATATTATGAGCAACTGGGCGATGTAGATTTGATTAACACAGAAATAGATTTGTATCAAGCAATAACACAAGACGATATACTACGTGTTGCTCAAATGTTGTTTAATCGAAATAAAGCTTCTATTGTTTGGTACGAAAGTAATCTTTAGTGAAGAGCGGAGAGTGAAAGGCGAAACTTTATGCGGTGTATTTTATTCGAACCATTTTCAAATGAGTTTAGTAATGATCAATCAAAAAATAACTCCCCGAATTTATTTTTTACCCATTACATTAAATGTATTTTTTTATGAAAAAAATATTGTTCATTGTTTTTTTATTTTTCTTTATTTGTCCTTTACTTCGAGCACAAGACGAGCAGTTTGTCGTAATTAATGAAGATTATCAAGTGCTTCAGGTCATGCAACGATATGCAGAACTGAATCGAGGTATAAAAAATATGGATGGCTGGCGTATTCAGATATCTTCGATGACAGATAGACGCGCCTTAGACGAAGCTATCGCGGCATTTAATGTAAAGTATCCGATGATACCCGTCGATTGGACACACGCCAAGCCTTATTATAAACTAAAGGTGGGAGCTTTTAATACGCGTGCAGAAAGCCTACAGTTATTGAGCCAATTAAAGCAGGAATATCCAAATGCATATCCGATACAAGAAAATAATCTTAAAATTATAGAATTGGTAGGGCTAAAATAAATGAATCAAACAAATACACAGCAAATAGCCACGTATGGCATGGATTGGATAACTTTCGCTATTTATCTGAGTTTAGTGCTTGTTGGTTGGATTATGATTTATGCCGTAGGTTATTCTAGCAATGGTTATCCTGCGGATTTGGGTAGCTTTTTGCAGACCAATGCTGGCAAACAAGGGATTTTTATAGGCGTATCTTTGCTTATATTGATAGGCACTATGGCTATTGATGAAAAATTTTGGCGCACTTTTTCGTTTTTGGTTTATGCTATTGGCATTGTTTTATTAATTTTAGTGCTGTTGATTGGTACAAAAGTAAATGGGGCGCGGGCATGGTTTGGCATGGGAGGCTTTGGTTTTCAGCCCTCTGAGTTGGCAAAATTTGGCACTTCGCTTGCTTTGAGCAGTTATTTGAGTTCATTTAATGTTCGGTTAGATACACTCCGGTCGCAGTTGATGTCGATAGCATTGTTTTTATTGCCAGTAATCTTAATTTTACTACAGCCTGATATGGGTTCGGCTTTGGTTTTTTTATCTTTTTTTATTGTTTTATATCGAGAAGGATTGTCTTCGTTGCCTTATATTGTAGGCGCAGGATTAGCTACCCTTTCTATTTTCGCCCTATTATTTGAGCCTGCGACTATTATCCTGCATTTGCTACTCATAGCAGTTGCTTTTTTGAGTTTTAATGTCATCAGAAACAAAGTGATATGGGTTATATTGATTTTAGGGCTTTTTTTTGGTGCTCGTTGGTTTTTTCATCAAGATGCTTATAAATTGTACGCACTTGCTGCCGCTGCTGCTGTTTTTACGATTTTTGCTATTTATCAATGGAGTGCAGGGGATAGGCGTTTGGTAACAACTATTTTACCTATATTATTGGTTAGTAGTATTATATCATTTTTTACGAATTATACAATGGAGCACGTCCTCCAAAAACATCAGCAAGAGCGGATTAAAGTGTGGCTAAAACCTGAAGAATGTGACCCGCGCGGCTCGCTCTACAACGTGTTGCAGTCTAAAATGGCAATAGGTTCGGGTGGTTTGGAAGGCAAAGGTTTTTTGCAAGGCACAATGACAAAGCTGAACTATGTGCCCGAGCAATCTACAGATTTCATTTTTTGTACTATAGGCGAAGAACAGGGTTTTATAGGTTCATTTAGTATAATTGCTTTGTTTTTATTGCTTTTATATCGTTTGGTCACATTGGCCGAACGACAACGTACCAATTTTGCCCGTCATTATGCGTATTGTATTGCAGGTATTATTTTCGTACATTTTTTGATAAATATTGGCATGACGATGGGGGTTTTGCCTACTATAGGTATTCCGTTGCCATTTATTAGTTATGGCGGCTCGTCGTTGATAGGTTTTACCATTATGTTGGGTGTGTTACTAAAATTAGATAGTCATCGTTTTGGATAAGCCGAAATCGCAAGTGGCTTTTGAGTACCATTATATTGTATAATTAATTGATTATCAATAAAATATATTTCATCATTTTGTTTAAAAATATCAAAATCAAAACAAATAGGTAGCGCCACGTAACGATATTTTTGATGATTTAAATGCAAACTATCTAATAATGGATATTTTTTATCGCGCTCAATTTCATCTAAATATTGTGACTTAGGTTTTATTTTATGAAATAAATAATAATCAATCGCTACTAATTGTTTTAGCACTTGGTCATTAGGATAAATCATTGATATATAATTAGTTATAATGTCATAAACGTCTGAAAGGATATATTGATGAAATGCTTTTTTGGTCAAAAAATGATGCCCGAGCCCTAAAAAAAAATCAAAAATACTATATTTTATTGTCACATATTTGAGCGCATAAGGCGTGCGTTTTTTGTTCCAATAAATTTCCAATACATTTTCCACAATTTCAATTTGATGCAATTCATTTCGGCTCAAATAATTGCTTTCGATAATTTGGTAAGGAGGGTTTGGGTCGAATACAAAACCATGTTGGGCTTCATTTTTACGCATCGGTGTACCTTTCAAAAACTTCAAAAATCCCACCTGTAATTCTGGCTGAAACAACTTAAAAACTGCTTCAAAACTACGCTTCACATCGTCCCAATAATCCAATGGCAAACCTACAATCAAATCCAAGTGCATTTCCACTTTATCTTTGAGCGTGTGAACAATCGCTTTGTTTTTTTCAAAATTTTGTTTGCGGCTCACCGCCAAATTTGCCTTTTCATTTACTGTTTGTACGCCAATTTCGAAGCGAAATAAGCCTTTCGGCACATTTTCTTGGATAAATTTTATAATATCGGGGTGCAAAATATCCGCAGTAATTTCAAATTGAAACACATTTTCGGGGTAATGATGCGCTAAAATAAATTTAAAAATGTCAATCGTAAAATCACGTTTGATGTTAAATGTTCTATCCAGAAACTTAATAATTCGACCATTTTGCATCAAATAAAGTAGCGTTTCTTTGAGATGCTCGTTGGGCAAATAGCGCATTTTATTATCTAAACTTGCCAAACAAAATTCACATTTATACGGGCAACCGCGCGAAGTTTCTATATATAAAACCTTGTTATACAAATCTTTAGGGTTATCATGTTGGTAAGGCTTTGCATGACGATAATTTTCTAAATCAAAAATTTGCGTTTGAGGAAAATATAAAATCTGCCCTTCCGATTTACTAACAATATTAGGTAAATCTGCCACATTTGGATAATTTTCCAGAAAAGCCTGAAATGGAATTTCTCCTTCGCCAGTGATAATAAAATCAACTTCATCGCGCATGATGACATCGTGCCAGTCATAACTAACTTCGGGACCACCTAATAAAATTTTCGTATTAGGGTTGAGTTGTTTAATAACTTGCGCCACTGCTAAGGTTTGCGATATATTCCAAATATAACAGCTAAAAGCAACAATATCAAAATTTTTGCAAAAATCAGCAATGTCATTTTTAGGCTCTTTGATCGTAAACTCGCACCAAGCCAAGCCAGCGTATTTTTGGTGGTTCAACTCATATAACAATCTGATAGCCAAATTGATATGAATATATTTTGCATTTAAAGTCGTTAATAAAATGGTCATTTTTGACAATTGCTACGGCTGTGTAGGAATGAACTTGGTTATGATGCCAACAAATTCAATAAAGTCTGAGTCTTTTGCCACCTATATTCACCATCTTTGAAACAAGGCTGATTGAGCAAACGTTCATCGCTCTTATTACTATTTGTGATTAAAAACGTGGTTCATCCATGATTTTGGCGCAAATCATTAAAAATATTTCATTTAAAATTTTATAAAATATGTAAAATATTGAGAAACAAATATTTAAAAGCATTTTAAAAAATAAAAACTAACCTTCCGCTAAAATCATGGATGAACCACAATTCATAACCCATTAATCTTCCACCATTTTCAGGCTAAAATTGCTCCAGATAATTTTTTGTTCCAAATTATAATTTTCGAGTCGGTTGTGATAATAATATAATACGTTAAAATCTTCGCTAATAATATCACCTTCTTTATTAAAAACTAAAGGCTTTTCGGGGTGATAAACGCCCAACTCCGAAATACCATGTTTTACCAAATCAGCAACATTCCATTTGATTTGTTCTGACAATTTGATTTGTTCTTTTTCTTCCATAATCATCAATTTTTGTTGCATCTGAGCGATAGCATTACTAAAATTTTCTATCGGAAAAATATAATCATCGGCAGGCAAACGCAACAACCCGTACAAATCCAAATCTGGATTCTGAAATTTGAGCATATTAAAAGCCGTAAAAGCAACTAAATGGCTACTCAACACGATATTTTCGGCATGATAACGTTCTACAATTTTATCTGCTAAAATTTTGGTATATTCAGCTTCGCGCTGCAAATTTTCCTTGACTTCGCCGTTTTCCATAAAATACTCAGAAACATCAATTTTGTTGCCCAAGCGGTCAAAACTATCACCATTGACATCTACAAAATTGCCCAGAACATCAATAGGTTTGCCAAAAGACAAAATAATTTCAGATTCTTCGGCAAAAAATTTCCAAAGAAATTTTGACATAGCCCTAAAACTGCCAAACTCATCGCGCGATGGTTTAAAATAACGCTCTTTTCCTGTCG